TATATATGTATATGTATGTGTGTCATGTACATTCCATGTAAGAGAGTAGGATGTTAATAGTTTAATACTACTTCAATCAAACTGCCAACATATTTCCATGTTAAGAACTGCAATATTTTTGTCATTTTAAAGAGGTTGAGTCCTGCCCAATGGTACTGGTGTTTGGTTGTCGGCAGTCGGAAATGGACCACATATACCAGCAGGAGACCATTCAGGCCAAAAACAAAGGAGTGTTCAAGGAGCTCTATACAGCATATTCCAGAGAACCTGGCAAACCAAAGGTAAGAGCCCCGAAGTGTCCAGCTCTGGGGATGATGACTCAGTTTGTCAAAACTGTCATTAAAACCACTGCGTGGGTATGAAATGGAATCATAGAATGGACTGAACAAAAACAGCTGCAGGATTCAGTGTTGCACTTTATGACACATGTATCTGTTTGATATTTTCTTCTTTAACCTTTGTTTCCTGTTCTTTTGTTATATATTTTTTGCTGTGATTATGCAAGTGCAATACTTCGCAGTAATGGGTATGGGGTGGGGTTGGGGGGGTGGGGGAGGCAGGTTGATGTCTGTGGCATCACCAGATAATTAAGTTTTGCCTTTTTGTGATTAATTGCAATTTTTAAAAAGTATTCTTTTTATTTGTGACTAATACAAATGTTGAATTCATAAATATAGGAAAAATTGTTAATCCCAATTTGATTATTTTTAGAAACTGTATATATATATATATATATATTCAAATATATATTCTCACACACATAGGTGGGAATATATGTATATATGTTTATATATTACATATATGTAGTATATATACATATATGTCCGCATATATGTATACATGTATATATACTACATATACACATATATACATTGCATATATATATATATATACATATATATATAAAAACATACATATATGTTTTTCTTTTGCTTTGAAATCAAGTATAAGCAGTGGTGGTACCTGGGTGACTGCCAAAAATGTAATCCCCCCCGCCCCCCTTTTCTACTATTCCTGACTTTATATTTGACAAGTCATCATTCTTTGTCTTGTTGCTTGTCAGAAATATGTACAGGATGTGCTGCGTGAGCAGCTGTCAGAGATAGTGTACCAGTATCTGCGGGAGGAGGGAGGACACATCTACGTGTGCGGGGATGTTACGATGGCAGGAGACGTCCTCAAGACCGTGCAGCAAATTGTCAAGCAGCAGGGCAACATGACTCTGGAAGACGCAGGATTTTTCATCAGCAAGCTACGTGTAAGAGATTAACTATGGAGAGACTGGACAGGAGTGATGGGAGCCTTGTGGGAGTACAAGGGTAGACTGGGCTGAGAATGTGCTCTGACATCATCGAGTAGTTTTTAAAATACAGTCAACATGATTTTTGCAAAGAAACCACAGGGACAAAAGTCTGGATTAGTCATCTAGCTGTATTATAGAGGATATATATATATATATATATATATATATATATTCCAGTACCTATACAGAATACATATTTGCAATATTTATCTTGTCTGTAATTTGAGCACCAAATATTTTTTTCTCTTTCCTCAGGATGAAAATCGATACCACGAGGACATCTTCGGCGTCACGCTGCGCACGTACGAGGTCACAAATAGGTTGCGTTCAGAATCCATTGCCTACATTGAGGAAAACAAAAAGGACTCGGACGAGTAAGTGTTTTGTCTTTGAATTATTGTAGCCTGGGTTTGGACTTTTAACGAAACCTAAACCCAGAAATGCAACATTTGCTTTAGAAACAATTGTACACACCGGTTCATAATAATAATAACTTAATACACCACCATCTTTACCGGCTGAAGTTTGTCCAGAGGTGTACAAAACAGTTTAACTACAGCCATGTATAAACACAAACAACCTTTTGTTTGTCCAGTTAGCCCACAACCTCCTGTGGCTCATTAAACAAGGTAAATATATAAAGTTCTTACAAGATATTTCTGTCTGTTTTCTTTATTATATATAAGTGTTTTACTGGACTCTTTAACTGTTTATCTTTTGGTTATGGTTTACAAGTTTAACATACAGTAGTACTACATCTGTTTACAGAAGTGCTTCTGTGTCTGCTTTGGCTACAACGCTAACCTAGTTTTGGGACATTTCGAGGTGGTTACTGGTTAACAAACAATTTGATCATATATTGTATATATTTGTCTTTGTGTTGTTATTGTTCTGTGTCTCATACATGAGATTTTTGGTGGTTTTGGTGTTGAGGTGAGGGCGTGTGCTGGAATAGTTTCTAATCCATTAGCATTGCTGCGCTATGCTGCATCTGTTTCTTCTGGGTGGAAGGCCATTTGAAAATGTTATTGTTCCACGAAACGGATGACTTTTAATTCATATCTAAAGCTTGTCCTTGAAATTCCAAACTTTCAAAAATATTTGTATAATATTTGTATAATAGAATCATTCATTCTTTCTTATTGTACATGTAGCAAATCCATTCACTCATTTACTCAAACACCTTAGTTGGTTTTACATGCTGTGACAAACTCTCCTGAAATTCTCTGGCGCCCCCTAGCGAAATCATTTTAAAAAACTTAAAAAAAAAAAAAGAATATATTTACTAGCTTATTCAGGCTAATGTGTTCTTGTCTGAACAGTTCACTTTAGTCATTCTTAAAATGTCTAATATATATTAAAAATATATATTTTTATGGCATGTCATGCAAGGGTGAAATTCCTGTGTGTGGATTAATAAGTATTTTCTTCCAATGTTCAATTTTTGGGAATTTCGTTAATGGTCAGTGGATAGTGCCGGACTGTGGAGTTCATAAACGTCGACATTATACGAGTGTGTTTTTCTCTTAGTTGCCCCAATGTTGTCATGTCCATTCATGTGAATATAGCGCCCCTCACTGTGTGAGGTTAAATGGCGTTTTTTTTGTTTTGTTTGTTTGTTTGTTTGTTTTTTACAATTCTAACAACATTCTTCACTTTTCAACTTCTTCAATTTTACATTTTTTTTAAATGAGAAAATTTCTATCGTGAATTACAGGGGCTTTGATCCAATTCCAATTTGCAGACTGTAGTTATTGTTGATGCCAGTGAGATTTCGCCCGTAGTTTCCGATAAAAATCTGTGTGTAAGCATAGAAACCTGTGGAAACTAAATCATGGTGAAGCGAGCGGGACTGTTACATTTCTCTATTATTTATGCACACTTTAGATTAAATACACTTCTCTGGCATAAACAGCAGCCCTACAAAACCATTCTGCCTGGTTAGGTAGCAACATGATGCATCGCAGGCAAAGGTTTCTGTGTGGATTGTCCATTGAATTTCCCATCAGGCGTCACAGCCTTTCGACTGAAAGAAACTCCTTTTTCTCTGTCTTTGTTTTGCTCTGTTTGTCTGAACATTTGTTTCTATGTTTAACTTCTCAGGGTTTTCTGCATGTGAGTCAATTGACTGGAGGCTTTCCGTCAACAGCCTGTCTGGAGGCTTCGTCAGCACTGGTTAAAGAATACTGTGCCAATTTTTGTACTGGGAAATGTGTTTTCTTTTTTTTCTATATCTATAACAAGATTTCTGTTGGCTCTGCAATTTTGTCTGTAGCAACAAATATATATACATGAAAATGTTCTGTTCTTTAAGAATCGGTTTTGCTTGTTCATAGCACCAAAAATTATAAAAAATTAATCATTTCTATTATAACGTGTAAACCTAGTATTAATGGCCTGCCTCATTGTGGATGCATGACCAAGACCAAGAATATACTTAACAAATATATCATGCTATGTGTTATTGTTACCGTAAAAAAAAAAAGGATTTTATTGTGTTTTATATTATTGCAAAGGAATATTCAGATGTTTATTGTGAGTTCAGTTGACTTCATATTTCTGAAAAGAATCCTACCTGGTTACGTGTATTTGGGCTGTTGTGCTTTTTTTTCTCCTTTTTTATTGAAGGCTGTAGATTCATAAAAGGTGGAACATATAAAGGATAAAGAATAAGACAATATAATAACACCCTAAACTAGTGTTTCCCAAACTTGACCCAAGTCAATACACATTATTCATAAACTCCTGGGAGACATAATGCGAGAGGACCCAAAAAAATATCTTGCGACCCACCCTAGGGTCATGACCCAGTCTTTGGGAAACAATGCCCTAAATTGTCGGTGTTTTGACGCAACAATGAGCCCAGTTACTTGAAATGATGCTACACTTGCTAAAAGAAAATCAAATCAAAACAAGAGTTTGTAGTTTGATGATATAAATTCAAACATCATCAACATACAGAAACACTTTTTGGTATTAAAGACGCCCCCACCAAAGGTTTTCAAGCAAAGCTAGGCACTGGGTGATTACATTCTTTTTGTGAAGTTAAAGTTAGAGCACTGACTTGGCAGAAAATGACGAAGAACTCAGAACCATCATCTTACAACGTGTCTTTAATGTGCTTGAACTTTGAGCCACAGAGAGTAGATAAAAGGCGAAAAACTAGCATATGCATATATACTGATATATACACATATATACTGATTCGGTGTCATTAACATAATCTGTGGTTCATCTCATCTGGTTTTTCAGACTGTTTCATGCAAAGATGAGCCAATAAGTCAATACGTTTTTTCTCTCCAGGCGGAAGCCCATCTACATAAGCCAATAAGTACTGAAACAACAAGAATGTTTTCCTAGTGAATTAAGTTCTAGCTTTTTATTTTGACTTTGGAAAAAAATGGGAAAAAAAGACTTTGTGATATATTATAATGTCGACGAAATCTACAAAATATAGAGGACTGTTTGGACCATCATATCCAAATACCCTCTGACCCAACTCTTGGTATTGAGGCTAGGGCAGGTATCACTTTAAAAGAAGCTATATTTAGCTAATAGAAATATGTTGCTGAGGTAAAACGTTGATTTCTTTGTCATTTTGTCCAGTAATAAACTATTCGAGACTATAGACACATTTACAACAATGACTCTTATTGCATTTTTAAAAGTGTATCAACATTTTTAGTGCTGGGTTTTATTGATGGTGACTTTTTATTTTTTCACACTCTTCACAAGTCAAGTCCACCAAGGGTTCATTTGAGAGTACTGCTATCACATACAGGTTATGCACTGTCGGCTTTGTGCCAGGTTCCTCCATGGTTCCTGTTCATTGTTTCTCAAAATTATAATCCCATGCGTCTCATCTACATCTCGAAACTCACCTCCAGATTCTTAAAGGTAAATAACACGTTATTGCCGCACCGTCAATGCCCATGTGGTCTTCTAGTCTGTACAGTGAACAGGACTGTTCGCTGACCAAAGACCAAACACTGAATGAAACCAAAGTTTATACAAAAAGAGCAGGTATTCTGCACATGCTTTTCATGGCTGGGAGCAGAACAGTACCAGTATGTATAAGTACTCTCTTGCATATATGGGTCTTTGGCCACAAGACTGGACAAAAATCTGTTGTCATGTCTGGGACCAACACACTAACGATGCAGGGTGGAATTTGCAGTGTTGCATTAATTAAATAAAACTGTGTGGTGGGAGTGGATTTGTTTTAAATCCTTTAATTAGAAGCATTGAAATTAATCCCAAATAAACTCATTTATGTTAATCAATACAGTAATATTTGACTCAATTAGAAACGCATTTTAATCCAGTATATTTGGTCTCTGTCAGATACGTTGATTTAATAATTAAATCATGTTATAAAATGTATCGGCTATTATTTCAACATTCTTTCTAACATTAGCTAACATTATCTCTGGTTTCTGGACCATGTCTGTTGAGGTTGACATTACCTCTGATAATAGCTAACATCAGCTCTAACGTTAACTAATATTAGCTCTGGTGTCTGTTCCAGGGCGGTTGTAGCTAACATTAGCTACAGTATCTTTACCAGGACGGTTGTAGCTACTGTTGGCCCTGGTGTCTTTACCACTGTAATGAAATTAATATTTATGTAAAAATGCGTAGTGTAAATTTTGTACTCGTGCTCATAGCAGCATGTTTTTATTGACTGCTTATCAGAGGCTAACAGTTAATCGCTGAGGTGATAAGAAGTATTTTACTTTTTATTTTAGTTTGAACACGGGTGAAATTTGGTGATGACAACTACGCAATGTCTGTAATTTATTTATCAATATTAAGGGTTAAAGTCCCAGCTCGGAAACATATGCTGTGTAACAATAAAATATTACATTTGCGGCTAAACAACATTTGTTACTTTTACTATAGCTCCTGTTTTCAGTCTGCAGGCTAAGCTAGGCTAACTGACTGACACTGAACTGTCATATTTACAGCCAGGACAGTAGAATCTGTACTTAAGGAAGGCACCCCCTCAACCCCATTCAGCACACTGTGTTATACCATATCATGTGTATAACAAACTGTCAAGTTTGCTCAGCAATCAACTATTGACCTTTAGAAATTGTCATTTTGTCAGCGTCACGACATCTCTGCCTCCTCTTGCCTTACATAAACTCTCGCCTACGTACACTACAGTCGCTCTCTTTTGTTTAATGCCGCACTTTCACTGTGACCTGACACCTGCTCAGTAGCATCAGCATGGGTGTGTGTGTGTTTTTGTGTGAGTGTGCCACTTAAATCCCTGTACCTGTGTGGGTGTAAACATGTGCCGAGGTGCACGTTTTACACGACTGTTTGTTAACTCGTCAAAGGGTCAGGCGTTGATACGCATCCCCGATCCTGTATTTAACAGGTAACTCAGCTCACGTGGATCTTTGTAAAAGTTTTGATTTCAGCAGCTGGGTCTTAATTTTCACATAGGAGTTATCGCATCCAGAATAGGAAATCAATTTAGCCATTCAGTTGCAAAACAAGAGAGAGATCCTTTTTTTTCCCCAGACATTTCCAGCAGCTAGGATCCTTTCCACAATTTCCTGCTGTAAATTACACACTTGTGTCCCCTGTGCCGTCTTATCTTTTTACCTTGATGTAGGATCACTGTTGAAAGAAAGTATTTTTCAAAAAAGAAAGATCTTCATCCTATAGAAACCACATCAAATTCAATTTTATCAGCAAACAAACAGAAGCAGGTTCTGTAATGGAATCAAAATGACTACGCCAGTTGTTGAATTTTGGAACTGGATGGCTACGTCCATTACTTATGTACAATCTCTGCATGTAACTGCGATGTCACTGTGATCACTTGTTGCTTTTCAACATCTGTTGTAAATGTAAAGAGATTAAAAAGGTTTTATTTATGAAAGTTTACATTTAATGATGTATTTGTTGACATTAAAAAGACAGAAAAAACAAAAGCAAAGTCATTTTTGAAAACACAGAAAAAAGAAATAAGCTGATTTGATTTCCATTTTATTGTTGGATTATACAGTTTGTCTGATACAGTCCTTCATAGGCTTTATCATCCAGCTGCTAATTTTGGAGCTTCATCTATTGTAAGTAATGGACGCTCAAAGTTTGTGATTCAACTGATGTACAGATGACCCTCAGCAGACAGAATGCAACATCCAGTTGTCCAGTTTTAACTTTTTTTTTTTTTGCTCCTGGGATGTTTGTTGTTCAGTAGTGTATTTACTTGTTTGATTTTTCTTCTAAATTGGTTATTTTTTTACTGCAAGTCCCATTAGCATTTTGCAAAAGCAAACTTTTTGCTGATATCCGATATGCCGATATTGTCCAAACACTTAATTTCCGATTCTGATATGTGCTGCTGTTTGCCCCCAAAACTGAGGTAAACGTCTTAGGACCTTAAGTTGAATTTCAGCAAATTTGGCAAAACTCAGGCACTGGAAAAACCGATAATGATCCTATCGATATTACATGATAATATCGGTCGACATCCCTACATTTACCCTTCTGTTGTTAGCTCAGGACAACAGTCGCCCCTGCATATATTTTCTACAATTTTGAAATATATTATTTTGATAGTTAAAATAGAAATTATTTATGGTTTTACATGAGTTCATATACACACATACATATATATTTTTTATATATTTGTGTATATCTAAAATATATATGACTACATTAATATGAATATAGGAGTATGTATGTATATATTAGGGCAAGCAGACAACTACAGTTTATAGTGTGATATTTCACAGGGTCACTTTGAATTACACAGGAATATTCCTGTTTCATGGAGATTAACGAACATTCCTAAACACGAGTCTCTATAATCATAATATATTGCCGGAACAGAAAGAAACAAACAACAGCAGGTAGATGTCTGTGTTTCAGACTTGTTTTGATTGGTTTAAATGTTCAAAAGAAAACATTAGGTAGTCAACAAAACTCCCACAGTGAAGGAGTAATTAAGAAGTTTTGACTGCTTGACAGCCTAAATATATATTAATATATATAGCAGTTATTCTGAGAATGTATCTTGATGTATCTGAAAGAAAACCCTTTGAAAGGAAGTCCTTTTATTTGTTTGCATATCACTGCTGCTACGATCACCACCTCTGACCCGATCAGCCTCTGCTGTGTTGTGAAATTGACTGAAAATATTCAATTTTACTGCATCTATCTCTAAGAACTTTGCACTCACTTACAAATAAAGAGATACATTTACAGAACATGTCAGCAATGACCTTGGAGGTTTTTTTGTGCTTTTGTTTATAGTTAAGAAATTTAATTCAGGCTTGATAAATGTGTATAAATGAGTCACTTTTTTGCAGAAGAATCTCTTTCCTCCTGAACTGCAGTAAACATGTCACATTTCAACTCTCTCCCCTTCTCTCCTCCCTTTCCTGTCCCTCCTGGTTGTCATGGTTCAGAGCATTGGCTCTTGGAGTGCAGAAATGTCTCACAGTGTCTTAGCAACCTATCAACAACAGAAGCCGCTACAACTCAGATACACACAGACACAATGCCATTGGCCACTGGTGAGTCACGGCCTTTGTCCAATTAGCCTGATGAAGTGTGACCCTCCCGTTCAGCA